GGGGGGGGGCGGGGAGAGAAAAGCAGAATGACAAACATGGAACACTCGAACGTTACTAATATTGCCACTGTCTGGACTTAAAGTATCAACCATTACCAGCAACAAGCTACATCATCGCCATCGTTATCATCATCATCATTATTATTCTAAATGGGAACACTGTTGGCTAAGAAAAACGCTAAGGGACGTTACTTAAGATAGCAAGCACACCATTGTGCCAGACAATGGCCAAGGCTGCACGACTCTGATGTGCAAAGCCTGTATTAAAGTCGATGTGTGCCAACAGCAGCGGCTGTTGCTGGAAATGCAAGCTCCAGACCTCCTCCTGGAGCGACATCTACAACACACAGAGTGTGCCACTGACGCTGAACTCCTCCATACGTGTTTACTTCTGAATTTGCATGCCATCCCATTTACATTGCACATAAGATTACTTGTGCGTATATAGATTCTTCATACAATTTCCTGTGTGACTAGAGAGTTGAAAGAACACAAAAACGGGAGAAACCACACCACCCTCTAATCTCTGTTGCCATGGCAGCAGCCTTTGAGATACTGAAATGTTCAGATTGCCAGCTAAACAAAATTGTTGAATGTGAACATTTGGCTGAGAGATTAAAAGGCTAAGGGGGTTGCAAAAGGGCAGTACCTCCCACATTCCAGGCAGCCACTGAATCCAATCAAATGGCTCTGACTCTTTAACCACAGTCATTGTGAAGACCGGATTAGGGCAATTTATCTAGATAGTTAAAACAGATTAGAGAACTGCAATTTGAAGACTATTGGCAACAGAAGTAAATGCCTACTGTACTAAGTTAATAAAGAGACCATGAGATTTTTGGACACCTTTCTGCAGTGAACAGCACTTTTCAGAAATCAAAATGCAAACATACACACATGAATTACACAGCAATCTGGTTTTCTCATCTGCATTTAGACAAGGTCATAAGGCTCATTCAAATTCATCCATAGATATGCTATCTTAAAAGCAATAATATGCATACAATATGAAATTTAATTTGTTCCTTGCCTTGAACAGAATCCCTTGGAATTATCTTCCAATACTAACCAATATCTGATATCACAAACACCCAAATCTAATCCACCAGTCGATTTAGTATTACAGAAGCTTCATGACTGAAATACAAAAAACTGGTGGCCAGTCATAAGAAGACAGAACTCCTGACTCCCTGAGACCTTCAGCCCTCCCAGACACTTGCAGTCCATACAGTTAACACCGACCTGAAAGTTTCCCCATTTCTGAACATTCACTCAGGAAAGTTGTAAAAGCAGGTCATTTAGGACCAACAGCTGACAAGACAGTCACAATCTAACACCCTGAGATAGTTCATTTGGAGGGTGTTGGTTTGCTTTAGCTTTCCGGCAGACCAGGTTCTCTTTGTTTAACAACCTGTAGAATTTGCCGTACTTGTAATCCTGGGCCAACACTCGCCCTCTGGAGCCCCAGAAGATGGCTTCTGCCCTAGGGACAGAACTCCCACCAACACCAGAACATCCTTAAACCAGCAGTTGACAAAAGACAACAAGGTTTCCCCTCCACCTTTCCCGAAGAATAGAGTAGTGGCCATCTATTCATCTATTCATACAGAAAGCATCCTTGTAATAGAAAGGAATAAAACCACACACTCCCATCTGATTTTTTTCACACATTTCAACCACCCAACAAACAAGCAGTTCAAATCCAAGAGCCAGCATGGCTCAGAGAGGAAAACTCCCCCAAGACAGGAGAAAAACTGCTCCACTCTGCTCCAAAAGCTGTTTTGCACACACCATTCTCATCACAAGGTGCATTTCCCTCCTCCCAGCATCCTCCTTCCAGGAAGACAAGAGGCATTGCCTGTCTACTGGCTCCGTCCTCCCAGTCGCTACAGCAGCTTCTGGGGCCTCTAGGCTACAGTGCTACGGAAGCCCCCAGCACAAAAAGCATCCTGCATCTCCACGAAGCACAGCGGCGGAGCCCTGGTCTCTGCCGATAGCTCCCATTTCCTCCCCCAAACACAGTCTCAGCTCTAAGCAGTGGGTCAGAGAAGGGAGAAGGGTTCCTTTACACTTTGGGAGAGGAATGGACACAAATGCCTGCAGATGTTGTGGAAGAGAATCAGCACATACAAGACCTGCTGTGCCAGGAGCCTGAGCTATTCACACCAGCCTGCGAACACATGCCATCCCACTGGTACCGCCGTGCTCTGCTAAAACTGGGGACAGCTCAGTCAGGGTCATCTCTGCGTTTCTCCTTCTGGGCAAGTGCAATTAAAACGAACAGACAAAACAGAAACGTTCTCCAGGTCTGACGACAGGGAGAGGAAATCACAAGGAAGAGCAGCACGCTGGAAACATGGGATCTTCCACATAGGAAAGAGGTCTCTGGGTTGGTTTTTGTTTGTTTGTTTGTTTTGTTGTGGTTTTGGGGTTTTTTGGCTTTTTTTTTTTTTTTTTTTTTTAAGGGAAGGAGGAAGGACATACGCATGTTACAAATACACAGCAGAGAGGACAAAGGAGCCAGACATACAGTCATGGGACACTCATGGGACACTTAATATAGACATGGGGAAACACAGAGGAGGTGGAGAGGAGCTTTGTCCTACCTTTTCTGTTTTCAATTTCTTGATTCGCCTGTGGCTCTCCTCCTCCTCCTCTTCCTTCTTTACCAAAACAGAGTTCCCCATTAACCCTGAATCCGGGGTACTTTTGCTCACCTCCCCCACAGCAGAGGAGGTGCAGTGGAAGGGGCTGCTGCTTCCACCACTGCCTCCCTTGGCCCCGAAGCCATAGAGATGCCCAGAGGGAATTTGGCTATTGCCACCCCCACTGCCATTGGGGTGGCCCTGCTGCAGATCATGTTGCTTGTCTTTCCTGGATTTTCCTGCATCCTTATCCCTCTTGGAGCCTCTGCTGCCTGGGGCTTTACCTGGTTTCTCCTCTTTGTTTTTCCCACAAGAGGACACGGTGGTAGTGTTGCTGGTGTTGTTATTATTGCCGTTTGGGTTACTGCTCACACTTTGACCCAGTGCTGAATTCATGCCAGTTGCCTCTCCAGGGCGCCCTTGGACTTCCTGCCTTTTGCCAGCACTGCTGATCTCAGGAATCCCATACAAGGCAGCAGAAGGCAGAGATTTATTAGCATCCTTAGAAGTTTTACTCCTTTTCACTTTTGATTTGCTAGTCTCTTTGTGAGAGGAATTCCCCTGGGGAGCAGAGGGTTGAACAGAAGCGAATTTTAGGCCATCAGCTAAGGCTGAGGTAGCATTAGCCCCACTGGAAGCCAGACCCCCGCAATCCTTGGAGCTGGTGTTGCTGCTGCTGGTGGTATTAGAATTATTCATCTCAAATTTCTGTCTGTCCTTCTCTAAGTCGGCGTCCAAATCAATTATTAAATTCCCGACGCCGATTTCCCAATCATCGCCACTGTCATAAGTGTCAACTGCGTTTGGATCCACACCTTTTCCTGCAGTGGAAGTGTTCAATGACATCCTGAAGATGAGATCTCTAGAGTAAAAATCCGATGAACTTTCCTTTGGAGATGTGGGGACATTCGTTTATCTCCGTTGGGCTCTCTCTTAAGTTCAACTCTTCTTGTCTTCCTCCCCTAGGTGTGTCTAGGCTCACAACCTGCAGTCCACATCCACGTTGTCCTGTGAGGAGGGAAAAAGTCAAGTATTTCCTGTCTGGGTGTTACCACAATATAACGTCACTCAATAAAGAGGGGGCAAGGTAGGGGGGAGCGAAAACATTCACCATTGCTACATTCTTAAGTTTGTTAAACCAGAGGCAGTGGCTATGGTGTTTTTATAATGAGCACTTTTAGTCTAGTTGTATACCAATATCCACAACCTCTCTTAAAAACCCATGTCCATAAAAAAGAAGGAAAAAAAAAAAAAGAGAAAAAAGAAGGAACAAAAATTATCTACATTATTTAAAACCACAAAGTTCAGGAAATACAGTCATAGACGTGGTGCCTTGCTGTTGGAGCACATGTTGTAATCTAACCCGTTGGACCACCACCTAGGCACGAAAAGGAGAAAAGGAAGGACACGGATTCACTCTTCACTGCATTCCATGGATTTTGTGGCTTTAAACCAGACCCTTGAAGTTTTGTGAGTCTCCTGTATTATCTTTTACCCCCCCTTCCACTTAATCTCTTGGGTGGGTGGGGGAGGAGAGTGCTAAGGGAAGTGGGAAACCTCATTTTCCCTGCCACAATACATCTTCTGTTAAAAACAACAACCTACAAACTCAAATGTTTACTGGAAGATATTAAAGTCCATAAGTTAAAATAATAATAAAAAAAAAGTGCGAAGAAATAAAAATTCTTTTTCTTAAAAAAAAAAAAATCCCTAAGATAACAGTTCTAAAAGCAGCTCTAATGTATTCCTAGGTCACACAATTGTTAGGTCTGTTAAATATAGTATTACTGACTGTACAGGAAACTGATTAAGACATACACTTTAAGTGATCTGCACCAAGGTGGCCTCAGTGACCGCAAATGAGTGTGTGTTTGACAAAGCTTAGTTAAAACGATTTTTAAAGGGATCTCTCCCTTTTACAGTCGACTGCCGAAATATTTATACATATATATGCATAATGCTTACCTTTAATCCTTTATCATTTTTAATTAAACCAGCAAATCAAAATGCTGTTCCCACTCGTCTCAGCAACAACTCTGTGCCTCATTTTACTTAAAGAGCAAGTGATCATGAAGTAGAAAGCAAGTATCATCTCAGCCAGTATAAATCGGTCAATAACATATCTCCCCCTACTTTGGCACACGAATCAGAAGTCCTTTTTTTTGTTTGTTTGTTTAGGTTTTTTCGTCCTTCCTTAAGGAAAAAAAATAAAAGAACAAAGCAAAAAGAGAAAAAAAAAAATGCTGTGCCTCACAACTTTACGAGCTGGGAGGTAATATTTCACATTCAGAAGTGAAGCATCAAGGACAAGATTTTTTTGTTTGCTTTTCCTGAATAAGCACCGAGAGGTAATAATCACCACAGTAATAATTTTTTAAAAAGGAAAAAAAGAAAAAAAAAAGAAAAAAAAATTAGCAAAAAAAATTAAAAACAAAGAAAGAAAGAAAGAAAGAAAAAAAAAAATGTTTCCCCAACTTCACACTCCGTCTTCAGCCCCGGACCTGGGAGCCATCCCGATCAGTAAGTAATGATCCCACGAAACAAACCTACAGGCACCCGGGTGTTACAAGACAGAATGTGCTAACATCGGGATAAATTAGTGAAAGGGAGGAAGGAAAAAAAGAAGAAAGGACTGAAAATCTGGGCTGGATTCCGCCTGTTAGTTGGGAAGTGGCATTTTTTTCGCCCGTCCTGACAGATCTGATTTCTTGAAGTAACTTGAGGGGAAACGGGCGGGGGAGGAGGGGGGAGGGGGGAGAAGGGGGGCGAGGAAGAGAAGGAGGAGCGGGAGGGGGGGAATCACTGATCTGATAAACCGGTTATCAAAACATTTTGTGGGAGTGGAGGAAGGACTGCGTGCTCTCAAACGAACTAAATTTTCCCAGGGGTAAGATTTCGGGGAGGGGGGTGCCTGTCCCCGTCCGTACGTCCGTTCCTTCCCGCCCCAGCCTTAGATCAGCACTTTTTAAAAATAGTAATAATAAAAAAAAAAAAAAAAAAAAATCAGCATAGGCACGTATCAGTTTCGAAGTGCTGTCTGGGGGGGGAAAAAAAAAATAATAACAACGGAAAACCCGTGAGCTTGGGCTAGTCAGTCATGCGGTAAGTAATTCAGTAATTAGAGTCCGAGGAGATAAAGCGGACGACCTTTTTGTCAGGACAGATCGCTCCCACCTTATTGTCTCAGTAAACCTCGCAGTCTACCGTTATCGCCCCTTCCCCCTTCCCTGTGTCTCCCTCCCCCCATGCCCAAGTCAGACGGTCTCGGAGCTTTAGCTTAGTATTTTTAATTAGCGGGCGATGGGAAGCTAAAAGCCGTAATGAATTGCCGGTGGCGGGAGGGCGGGGGGAGGGGAGGCGCGGCGGGGCCCACCGCCCGCGTCACGTGACGCCGCCGGGCACCATTGGCCGCCGCCGAACGGGGCCGGAGCGCGGCCGGGGCCGCCCCTCACACACCCGGCGGGGCGGGCCGCGCCCTGCCCCGGCCCGGCCCCGCGCCGCCGGCCCCGCCGCCTCTGCTGGAGCCCCGGGGTGCCCCCCAGGAACGCCGAGCCCCCCGCCGCCTTCCCGGGAGGCGCCTTTACCTCAGGGCTTTCGCTTCCCCGCGCCTCGGGGCCGGCAGAACGAGACGGCGGTGGAAGCGGCTGAGGCATCAGCCGGCGACGGACGATCCCACCCCCGCCCCCCAGCTCCAGCCTTCCTGGTGTCTCGGTGTGACACATGCGAGGTGCCTCCCGGTCTGTCGGTGCCCCATCGCTCCTGCTAACGAGCGCTCTCGGGGCCGGGAAGGGGGGGAGCGGGGAAGCAATGCAGACTTGGCTGTAATCGTGTCACTTTTATCCCCCCCTCCCCGCGCCCTGGGTTAGTTAAAACCCAAAAAAGGCACTACGCTTTAACGCCCCCCAAGTACCCCGTCAAGTATGATTTGTGTGGCTACAGTGCTTTCACCCTCTTACTTCCCTCAAATAACTCACCCTGTTTGTGGGATTGTTTGGGGGCTCTTTTTTCCTCCTTTAAAAATCCCCAAGAACCCTAGTTATCTCAACTCCCAAAACTCTTTAACACTCCCGTTTGCAGAGAAAAAAATAAAAAAATCCCCTCTAAGTGCTATAGACACACCACGCAACCGTACTTACGGTCTGTATTGGATCGAGTTGACCTTTTCCTTCTAACTGCATTGAGTGTGTTTTTGTTGCAGCCGCTTTTTATTTTAGGAAAAAAAAATTCTAATGTCTTCAACAGATTTATTGTGTTTGGAGGAAGAGAGCACCAGGTATCATGAACCTTCCTTTCTTTCTAGAAATAAAACAACGACAAAAAGAAAGAAAAAAAATGAAACCAAAATAAAATAAAAATAAGAACTGGGCAGAGAAGGCAAACCCGGCATGTGTGTCTGTCCCCTCACAGGCTGACACACAGGCACAGGGGACAGGGGCGCTGCCCCCACGGCAGCGGCCGAGGCGGGGGAGTGGGAGCCTCGCTCCGCGCGGTACCTGAGAGGGACTTTTCTTTGTTCGCGATGCCCTTTCCCTGCCGGCCAATCAGCGCCCAGCTTTTATGAAACCGGGCCCTGCGATTGGCCCGCCGCTCCTCCTGCCTGCCGGCGAGGGCGAGAGACACAAACACGCACCCGCTCGCACCCCCGCACTCGCGCCCTGTGCCCCGCACGCACGCCCGCTGTCCTCACAGCCGCACACGCTGTACCCCCGCACGCACGCCCGGAACCCTCACACGCTGTACCCCCGCACACGCTGTGCCTCCCCACACACGCCCGATAGCCTCACAGCCGCACACGCTGTACCCCCCCCCCCCACATTGTACACTCACACGTTCTGCACTCACACGCACACTACGCACACGCACGCAGCCCCTCGCTCTGCAGCCCGCAGCCTACGCCAAGCCTCTTTGCTGCAGCCAGATACAAATCGTGTTTCCCATTTCAACTATCCTACATAACATTGAAGGCTTAGAGGGAGGAGAAGAAATGGGGGGGGGGGGGGGAAGAAAAGAGAAGAGAGGGGGAGGAGGGGAAAAAAAAAAAAGAAAACCAAGGTAGAGTGTAGCTCTGCCAAGACTCACACTTCGGGAGGAAGACTCCCTCCTTTCGTTTTAATTTAATTTCAGTGCAGTTTTCGAAGCCATGATGAACGATTTTTCTGTGCCGGTTTCAAAGAGGCAATTTAGAATCTCAGTCATAATTTTTAAATGCCCCCTCATTCAAAATTATAACAGCTTGAAGCCAGCGAGAGAGAGTTGCTGATATACATGTGCGATTATTTTCGTGCTTAGTGGAGGAGAAAAGCAAACAGTGTCTGGAGGAAGGGGCTGAGGGGAGGTTCAGGGTAGGGCAGCACCCCCACCTTTGCTTGGGGGGTCACCGAGGCGCTGCTTCGTTCTCGGATCAGCCCTCATTGTATTCACTTTTTCAGCTCCTCATGTATTTTATTACATGTTCATTTTTACAATATGGCTTAAATTAGACAGGTCGGGTTTTATTCTTTCTTTCTTCCCTTTTTTTTTTTTTTTTTTTTTTTTTTTTTTTTTCTTCGTCTTTTTCGGAAGGAAGGGGAGCAGAAAATAACCCTTTTGTTTCCAAACTGCTGATTTACTGCCGCACGCACTGAAGTGTGAATGCCAGCGACCCTATAACTACCACGTGAACATCCTTTCACAGGAATTAGTAACACAAATCTTCCCTATCGGGCTTTGTGTAGCTCGAAAATATCCCCCTTAATCATTCCTTTTGTTTACGTTGGGAGCCATTATGCTACACCACTGCGTTAAATTGCGTTTAACCCTTCGCGGACGGCGAGGGTGGGATGGGGGTGGCGGCGGCTGCCGCCCGC